CCTCGACTACTTCGCCTGCGGCAAACTGGACGTGGACGTGGCTCGAGGGGTCATCGCAGGGATTGCTGATGCCTGCAAGAAGGCTGGCTGTGCTCTGCTGGGTAGGGACAGCCTCCTCTGGAGGGGGTGCAAGAGATGATGCAGGAGCTTTATACCTGGGTTTAGTGTGGTGGTTTTCCTGCTCTACTGAAGAATCTTAGAGGAGTCAAAAGAAAGAATCCCAGAAGATTTGAGTCGGGAGGGACCTTAAAAACCATCCAGTGCCACCCCTGCCATGGGCAGGGACACCTTCCACCAGCCCAGGGTGCTCCAAGCCCCGTCCAACCTGGCCTGGGACACTTCCAGGGATCCAGGGGCAGCCACAGCTTCTCTGGGCAACCTGTGCCAGGGCCTGCCCACCCTCCCAGCCAGCAATTCCTTCCCAATCTCCCATCTCTCCCTGCCCTCTGGCAGTTTGAAGCCATTCCCTGTGTCCTGTCCCTCCATCCCTTGTCCCCAGTCCCTCTCCAGCTCTCCTGGAGCCCCTTTAGGCCCTGCAAGGGGCTCTCAGGTCTCCCTGGATCCTTCTCTTCTCCAGGTGATCCCCCCCAGCTCTCCCAGCCTTTCCTCCCAGCAGAGCTGCTCCATCCCTCTGATCAGCTTCCAGCCATGATGATTTCCACAAGATGAACATATTCCAAGGTGTTAAGACTCAAATTTAGATGTTTTTTTTTTTTCAGCCCTAGAATACAAGTCCACGCAGTGCTGAGCTGTGTGTGTGCTCTGCTGTGCAGTGACCTGGTTAGCCATGGACAGGAGGCAATATTTCCCCTCTTGAATCATTAAAAATACACCCTTGTCACTGCTCAGCTCAAGGAGAGTATTTCTAGGTCAGTGAAACCCACATTCTTTTGTATAATTCTTATGAAAGGACTTCAAGACAGGGTTAAATTTTAAAGCAGTGGAACCCAGAAAGTTCTGTTTCCTCACAAAGTTTTTTGCTTTTCCTTCTTTTTTTGTTAATTCAGGCAGGTAGAATGACTCTGATGTTTCAAAAAAGACTTTTGAGCCAAAAAATGACAGTTCAAATGTCTTTAGGTAACACCTTCTAGTTGGTTAATGAAGTAATTCAGTCCTTTTTTTCCAGTTCCTTAAGAAAGTTGGGAACAGGGTCCTCTCTCAGTGGGAATGTGTGGCTTTGGGGCCGTTCACCAGCTTTGAACAGGAGGCCCTTTATGCCCTGGTTTACTTTTTTTGCTGGATGAACTCTTGCTCAGGCTGTTGTTTGTTTTGAGGTGGTGTGTCTGTTTATCAAACACAACCAGAGCGTTCCTGGTGCCGCCGAGGCCCCGCTGTGGGAGCTGCTGGGATGGAGCCCTGCGAGGCCTGATTCCAGCAGGAAAATTCACACTCCAAAGGCCTTTCTGCAGCAGCTGAACATTCAGCTCAACAAGCCTGAGCTTGTGGATGGGCTGAGGGTTTCTCTGCTGCCTGGATGTGCCCAAACTTCATTAAGTCTGGGTTTGAGTGTTGGGCAGGGCCTGGAGCACCCTGGTCTAGGGGAAGGTGGGACAGGATGAGCTTTAAGGTCCCTCCTGACCCAGACCAGTCTGGGATTCTGTGGTTCTATAATTCAAAAAACTAGTCTGTGAATGCCTCCTGAGCTTCAAACTTGGGAAAATCGCGTTTCTGTGGCTCTTCAACCCCTCCCTTGTGTGTTTTTGGCTGCAGGAGGAGAGACGGCCGAGATGCCCGGGATGTACCCGCCCGGCGAGTACGACCTGGCGGGCTTCGCCGTGGGGGCCGTGGAGAGGGGGCAGATGCTGCCCCAGCTGGACAGGATCTCTGAGGGGGACGTGGTCATCGGGGTGGCATCCTCTGGGGTCCACAGCAACGGCTACAGCCTCGTCAGGAAGATCGTGGAAAAGTCCTCCTTGGACTTCTCCTCTCCCGTGGGCGTCTCCGGGGACCAGACTTTAGGTACCGGTGGAACCTGAGCTGATCAACACTTCACACAACTGTTTTGGCTGTGCCTTTGCTTTTGTAGCTTTTCAAAGGAACCAAAAAAAAAAAAAAGATGTTCCATCTTTAAAGTGTTTTCATCTTTTTTTTGGTCTCCTGTGAGTCCCATGTGCAGGAGATAAATGAAGGGAGGGGGATAAATAGCCACTTGTGTGCTAAGAGAGGCAGCACACTGGGTTTCTCTCTCTAGCACAGGGGCATTCATTTCCCCCACTCTATGGTGATGGGCCTTTCTTTCTCTCTTCCAGGAGAGCTCCTGCTGACCCCAACCAAGCTGTACAGCAAGACCCTGCTGCCCGTGCTGCGCTCGGGCCACGTCAAGGCCTACGCCCACATCACGGGCGGGGGGCTCCTGGAGAACATCCCCAGGGTGCTCCCAGACTCCTGCGGTGTCGTCCTAGGTGAGAGGAAAACACAGCTCAGGGAAGGCCCTGCTGCTGCTGTGGGGTCTGTGGGTGCTGGAGGAGCTGGATGTACCTGTCCAGAAATGGCTGAGTTTGTCCTTGTGCCTGAGCCAGGCCCAGGCAAAGCACTGCAGTGTGAGGGCTGCTCCCTACTGCATTCCCTTCCCTGGTGCTGCTTGTGATTGGACTTCTCAGGACACTTCCAAAAAGAAAACAACCCTAAAAGCAATCCCAAGTGAGCTGTTGCCATTTGCAATCACCTACCAAGTTACTGCTGGTTAAATGATACTCATGGGGTGTTCAGCTGGCATTCACAGGGGGTTCTGAACTCAGGGACACCTCCTGCTGTTCAGCATCATTCACCCTCACCACCACCTGCACAGGTGTGCTGGGAGGAGGGTTTCCCTGGGGGAGAAGCTGGGATATGGAGAGGGAAATGACTCACTGCAGGTTGTGGGAGTTCTGGGGGTTGGAGAGTAAAATAAGGGAGCTGAGACTGAGTTTTGGACTCCAGAACTGCATGTAAATCATTCTGCCACTTGTCCCCAGTGACACTAATGCAGCTCTCTGTGTATATGTGTGTATATATATGTGTGTGTGTGTGTGTGTGTGTGTTCACACCTCTGCTCTGGCACACACTGGGACAGCTGGGGGGGTTCACCTGGAGAAGAGAAGGATCCAGGGAGACCTGAGAGCCCCTTGCAGGGCCTAAAGGGGCTCCAGGAGAGCTGGAGAGGGACTGGGGACAAGGGATGGAGGGACAGGACACAGGGAATGGCTTCCCACTGCCAGAGGGCAGGGAGAGATGGGAGATTGGGAAGGAATTGCTGGCTGGGAG